ACTGGGCTTTGCTCTGCTGGATTGGGCAAGTGAGTTGTAAGTTAAGGGTAAGAGTGAGGATTAGACTGGGCTTTACTCTGCTGGATTGGGCAAGTGAGTTGTAAGTTATGGGTAAGAGTAAAAGGGTTGGACTGGGCTTTGCTCTGCTGGATTGGGCAAGTGAGTTGTAAGTTAAGGGTAAGAGGAGGGATTAGACTGGGCTTTACTCTGCTGGATTGGGCAAGTGAGTTGTAAGTTATGGGTAAGAGTTAGGGTTGGACTGGGCTTTGCTCTGCTGGATTGGGCAAGTGAGTTGGTAAGAGTAAGTTAAGGGGTAATTGGGCAAGAGTTGCAGTAAGGGTAAGAGTTAGACTGGGCTTTGCTCTGCTGGATTGGGCAAGTGAGTTGTAAGTTAAGGGTAAGAGTTAGGGTTGGACTGGGCTTTGCTCTGCTGGATTGGGCAAGTGAGTTGTAAGTTATGGGTAAGAGTAAGGGTTGGACTGGGCTTTGCTCTGCTGGATTGGGCAAGTGAGTTGTGCAAGTTAAGAGTAAGAGTAAAGGGTTGGACTGGGCTTTGCTCTGCTGGATTGGACAAGTGAGTTGTAAGTTATGGGTAAGAGTAAGGGTTGGACTGGGCTTTGCTCTGCTGGATTGGACAAGTGAGTTGTAAGTTAAGGGTAAGAGTAAGGGTTGGACTGGGCTTTGCTCTGCTGGATTGGGGTCCAAGTGAGTTGTAAGTTATGGGTAAGAGTAAGGGTTGGACTGGGCTTTGCTCTGCTGGATTGGGCAAGTGAGTTGTAAGTTATGGGTAAGAGTAAGGGTTGGACTGGGCTTTGCTCTGCTGGATTGGGCAAGTGAGTTGTAAGTTATGGGTAAGAGTGAGGATTAGGGTTAAAAGGACCGATTACAATTGTTGCCATGGTAGCGTTCGATCTGAAAACACACGTCAACCTGTGTTGACGACGGCATACCCCAAGTTAGGCTTATTTGGTCACATTTAGCTCATAGTTCACTAATTTCCTTCTTGACTTAGGTTGCCTATGCCTTTTGAGCCACTTGGGGGTGGTACTCTGGTTAAAAGCTCCCCACAGAGTCAACAGTAAAGAAAAAACTTTCTGTCATTGATTCAGTTGTGAATACAAGCATTTAATGGGTCTGGGTCGGTTAGATTGATGATTGCGTGGTCTCCGAGAATGTGAGTTTAACTGCCGGATTGGATGTTATCTTTGGCCATTTTCTAAGAGCACTGGGTATTGTAAATGTTTAAAATGCATTCAGTAAATATAATATAACACATATTTTACATCACAATCGCTTCACGGGCAGTGATCAATAGGGAGTGTGTGGGTATAGTTTCGCTGTTAGCAAAAGTTAATCACCGCTGCTGAGGGGTGTACCAGATTTGAGCTTCACCCATTGAACCCATGTGGGGATTCGAACCCGGAGTGCGGTGGTGTGACTAGAACACTTTTGCGTATAAATCTATCCCACCACCCCCTTTGTGTAATAAGAAGGGTTAGATATGACATCTGGGTGATTTGCAGTTCGTTTCTGATATATACTCATGCCAATAATGGTTGTCCCCCCTTCAATTTTTTAATTGATCGGTTTTGTGTCAGTATGGGGGGGGGGTGACAACCATTATTGTGAGTATATATTATGATCGGTTCTTCAGTCACACTGTGTATTCATTATGTTCTTCGTCGTGTAAATTGACGCAAATACTTGGAGTTGCGTCCCCTGGCTACAAGGATTCATCAATCGTGGTTTTGAATCGCAGCCACGCGCTGATTGTGATCCTCGTTGTTTGTACGCCCTTCCCTGTCCTTGCCGTTTCTACCAAGACCGTGAACGTCCTTTACTTTATTGAAAACGAGCATTGCAATCTTTCTTCACAAAATTATTTGACATTTTGATACAGGCGAACACACAGAAGATGATAAATTGTGGGCCCTGTCCTTTAGTTAGCTATTACGGAAGTACAGATCCTTGTGCGTTTTATGCTGCAACCTAATACGTGATCGGGGTTCTTTCACACATTTGACTTCAGCAACCCATATTTGTCTTTGCAATTGATTGTGCTGCAGTTTGCGAAATCGTTTCCAAATTTGCTACCCAGTCGGGCTAACGATGCCTGAAGGTTACTAGCCCACAAAATAATTCACTAGCCCGAAATTTGAATGTAGAAACATGCAAATGGTTACAAAAATAGATGAGAGTAAGACATTGTCGGCATGACACGGGTTTCATCATTAAGCTGCTAATATGATGAACATTTTTATCAGGACATAATCTTGCATGATTTACAAGTGTATTATTACCTAACAAGTCGGAGAGAGTGATATATTTACAAAACGACCCAATGAAAATTCACTAGCCAGTCGGATCAGTGACTGTGTAGAATTACAGGACGACAGGGCTAGCGGGCCAGTGTTTATTTCGCGCACTGTTTTGCTGCGTTACTTTTGCGGGAGAGTGTGCTGCCTATTCACGTTTTAGGTCATATGTTATCATTAGTGCATAGTAAAACCGAGCCACAGTTTCCATGTAGGTAATGTAGATCAGTAACAGGAAGATCATGATTAACAGCGATTCCATGGACAAGCAACTGTACTTTGAACAGATTGAAACAGATTCGCTCAGGCGGCATAGAGAACTTGTTTGAGTGGCATTTAGAAGCTGGTGAGATGAACAACGAGGAGAGTTCGATGGATATACAAATTCTTTAATATAATATGAGCGACGTTTCGCTGTAGCTACTAACACCGTTATCAAGCAAATGATCACAGACAACATTCAACTTAGTGGTCATTAATGCGTATTTTACAGACGCATCTTTCAATATCTGCATCACTGAATGTTACGGATGGCTTTCACTGGCGCGACTGGTACATAACATTCTTAACATTTATTTTGTGACATATAAATAGATAACAAATTGTTTTATTCGCTGAATTTACTTTTTATAGGTGATAGTAATTTTATGAGCCCAGAGAATCTGTAAAATATAAGAAGACAAGAAATCTAGATTTCGAAGCCTTTCCGTAATTAAGACTTTTTAATAGTTTTGAGAGATTTGTATACGGAACTGGCACTGACAAGAAATCTGACCCGAGTCCTTCACCAAACCTAAAATAAGGCGGTGTTTCACACTGGACTGAGGGAAGGGAATCACACCCCGTGACGGGAACGCGGTCACTATGGGATAAGCATGTATGACACTTGACATCAGTTACAGAAACAATACTATTAGTCCTATACAATACCTTATTTGAGGCAGACAACCTCGAGTTTTGCTAAACAAAAACTCCAAATTAACAATGATTGTTTCTTAGTAACCTAAACTATATAAAACTCTGATTTTCTATCGTTCGTATTATTATTACGTATTCCTTCGATTTCGTTACTTTTGGGGGACGGTGGGGTAGCCTAGTGCTTAAAGCGTTGGCTCGTCACGCCGAAGACCCGGGTTCGAATCCCCACATGGGTACAATTTGTGAAGCCCATTTCTGGTGTCCCCGCCGTGATGTTGCTGGAATATTGCTAAAAGCGGCGTAAAACCAAACTCAGTCAGTCAGTTGTTACTTTTGTCGATATTAGCGTATGATACGTATGATTCTAACGTCCTCACTACAACCATTCTTATTATTTAATAAAAGCAAATGGTTGAAACTCAGTTGTGCTTTTATCCAGATTTGCTGGAAAAGATAACTACATAATATGTGGAAATATGTCGAAATCTCTTACTTCTTTTATATATGTTTGATGTTGAGTTTCTTAATGTCTGTTCCGCATAGGATAACATGTTTAAGTCAAAAGCGAAACAATGGGTTTGTTCGTTCGAGTGTCCTGAATTATTTTGTTGAGGCCCATTTGTATCAATGGCTAAAGAAATGAAGTGATGAAGCGCACGTAAACTGCCCATCTGCTGTCCGAAATTCTTTGGCTAACAGCATTTCTCTTAATAGCTTTTTTTATTGATTTTTATGCCGCTTTTAGCAACATTCCAGCAATATTACGGCTAGGGGACACCAGAAATGGGCTTCACACATTGTACCCATGTGGGGAGCGAACGCTTTATCCACTAGGCTACCCAACCACCCTTTCTCTTAATAACACCCAGCACATTTATCTAAAATCAATATAGCAATAAAATAACCTCTTAATAAAAGCGCTATTTATTGAATGAAGAATTGCTATATCAGGGTCATATAGGATTTTGTCTATCGTACTGACACAAGGGTGGATTCGGAAGATAATATCACCGAAATCACACGACGAGACTAGATGGTTGGCTGGTTGTTGTTTTACGCCGCACTCAGCAATATTCAGCTATATGGCGGCGGTCTGTAAATAATCGAGTCTGGACCAGGCAATCCAGTGTTCAACGTCTTAAGCATCTATCTACGCAATTGGGATACGATGACATGTGTCAGCCAAGTCAGCGTGCCTGACAACATAACCCATCCCGATAGTCGCCTCTTACGACAAGCATGGGTTGCTGAAGACCAATTATAACCAGGATCTTAACGGGTAACGAGGATACTAAAATAAGTATCGGGTGGTCACAGTTCGAAATCCGACTTTGTGAATATCATCGTGTCCTGGCGGCCTGGAGCCTCGCTCATACCGTCGACCATTAGTTGACATGGTCTAGATTCGATTACGATAAGAGCGCAATGATATATAGCCAGAATATGTGGAATGCGTTTTAATGACATTCTTTCTTTCTCTCTGTATCCTGTGTACAAGTGTAGAATCAAATAAGGAGACAATATTTAGTTATAAGGTCAGGTGCTTCACAAGGACTAAACAGCATAAAGGTGCTGCTTTTATGATTAAACTAAAATCAACCACACATGAGAAGGGGAGTGACGTGTACGGTGACGTCATATCCCTGACCAACTGAACTCCGTTGACGACGTGCGCAGAGAACTGAGGTGACATCGCACCATGTCAATATTAATGACGTCACAATAACCTTCAGCACAATATGATGACGTCACAGTCAGCTTCCACGGTGCACGATGAGTGATGTCAAGTGTGCAATGACACTACACGCAACTACAGCGTAACATTTTTCGTTACAGGAGGGAAGCAGGTGCCATTATACACAATGCCCGGGAGAGCTGAGTAAGTGTTAAATCACAATTCGGCTCAAGTATTTAAGGATCAAACGGATTATCTTTGAACCCCTATATTTTAAACCGGATTCATGATCGTAAAATGACAAAAGTGTGCAACCTGCTCGAACAATCTAGGCCCATTCACACAAAACGATCTTAGCGCAAGGGCAATCTTAAGTCTATGTTAGAGTATGGGATTATTAATTGGTTCAGGTAAGGACTTTGGCAAGAAATGAATCCTCGAACCCATCAATGATTGAGTAAAATAGGGCCTAAAAAATCAATCTTATTGTTTTTCAAAGGGTGTAAGATACCCATCAACAATATATCAAAGTATGTTCTTTTTAATGATTTGTATGTGTTAAATACAAACACAATTTAAGAAATATAACTTTGTAGGCGGATTACTTGGGTTCTGACAAAACACGGCGCATCTATTTTTTAAAATAAAATTGCTAACTTAAGATATTTTCATTTGAAAATTAAACATAAATAATAAACTACATAATGTATACTGAGAAGTACAGTTTCTATTGTTCTTCGGTGTGTATTTGAAGCAACAGCACAAGCGAGATGACGGATATGCTGAAAGTGCTATATAACACACACACACACACACACACACACAATGTCGACCACTTGCACAGGTTTTTTTGTTGAACTCCTTACTCAGCAATATTTCAGATATAATCGATCATGGACCAAACAATCCAGTGACATCACAAGCATCAGTCTACCCAGTCGGGTAACGACCACATGCTTTAGCCGAGTCCGCGAGTCTGACCTCCCGATACATTTAGACGTTTTATGCGACAAACAAAATGCTGTTCGGGACTTCTATTCTTACCTTGAATCCCCCAGGATCATATTTCAACACGTCAGTGATTATATTGATAGTGTTGCCGTGGTATGAAATTTGACAAGATTTGAGTTTATCGAATGATGAAATTTTATGTACTTCTTGGTCTGTTTTAGGATAAAAGTTAACTTGTTACAACATTGTCATTTTATCATATAAACAATTATATAAAAATCAAGACCATAATCAAGCAATTTGTTAACAAAATTAACATTAATTATAAAAATTAGGACAGACGAAATATTTTTTTTAATATTTCTAAACGAAATTTAGAAAAATTATTCATGTTGACTAATCAGACCCACATAAACACATTCTCTTATCAAAAAGGGAGAAAGAACCTTAACCATATACAGGAGCATCTATCTAGACCTGACTCTGACTAATCCGGATCTCTGTCAATGTATTTTCCTTTGTGTAACACTGATGTCATTATTCAAACACGTTAAATCTGTCTGACAGGTAATAGCCTATCAAAGCAACGCAGAAACTGGTCTGAAATTATCTGATTATGCATAATGTGTTCACGGTACATTTTAAATACGATAAAAAATAAGTGTTATCTGTTTTATCATGTCCACAAGCTACCAATGTGGTTTGAACAAAAGCTCCGTTGTGTTGGATTAAAACTGTCAACTGCTGTGTGGCATAGTCTGCTTAATCGAGGGGAGATTGACATACGTTTGGACAACGCGCGTACTAATACGACAACACACCAGAAGATAGATCGCGTTTACCGTAACACGTACTATTAATATTACGGTATCACAGCAGCTATCTCCCTGTAGGGTGTTTGGATTATGTAATAAATCTCGCTGTACAGAACACCCGGGTCTGTGATATTAATTCGGTTGTTCGTGTTGGAACAGGCGCCGGTCTTCGGATTTGGAGAACATCGGGCGGAAGTTATACGGTCGCAGTTTGTTGAGTGGTGGGTTATGCGGGAAGGCCAAGCAGCAATTCATTACCCCGGCTGAGGAAAAACTACTGGACGCGTTGGTGACAGGGGAAAACACAACCATGCCACAAATTCCTTCATCGAAAAAGAAAAAAATCAGACCTAGTTCGGCCGCGGCCAATCTTCAAAGCCATCCCAGCTTCACTTCTGGGCTTTATGGGACCACAGCCCGACCGTCCACAGCCCTCGGACAGGACCGGGGGCTGTTCGGCCAACGCCCTGCAACCCAGGCAGGGGGACCCCGGCGTCCGTGGCAGTTTAAGGGACAAACTGAGACCCAACCTGAGAAAGAAGTGATTAAACACGGTCGCCGATTGACCCTAGGGGCAGTTGACGGCATAGCTGAATCTGACAACTTCACAAGGCCAGGACAAATTCACGGATCTATAGCACAGCAACTGAAAAATAAGGTGAGAAAAGCTGAAAAATGGATATTTTATGTGTAATATATATTCCCCTTGGTGATATTTAATTCACCCGCGATGTTAAAAGGTTATGTTATTGTTGTTTACATGATGCCATTGTGAGCATGCGTGTATGTTGCTATCAACTCGTGTCGTCTGCTCCATGTGCTTTTGTTTGTGTTGTGTTATGTTCTTTAAATCACACCGTCACCGTGTATTCGTTTGACAATTCATTTGGCTGACTTGTTAAAATTCCCCAGAGTGTTTTCCTGCCAAGTTCATTATTTATTAACCAAGCTGCGTGTTTCTTGTCTGTCGCGTGCACAGCCGAAACGAGAACCTTCGTTCCTTATTCAATATGGCGTTTGTTGTAGCAACTCGTCGTCTTGCCCACTTCCGTATTTTGCTGGCATGTGTTCCCAATAGCACAGCCGTCCGCTCAGAAATATCCGACGTCTAACGTTGTGTGGCCAGGGCGTCAAGAAATTGATCTGCTTAGAAACTTAATCAGCCGGCCGTCAACTGCCAGTATATTGCCATTACAAATATTAACGCCCCGTTGCACATGATTTCCAGGTCATTTCTGAAACTGAATAAAATATATATATCTTGTGAAAAATGATGAAATTGATGAAATTGGAGGAGGGACAGGTGGAGGGAATTTTGTACAAAGGAATGATATATAAGTTATTGCCTTTTTCTCAAGGCGTCGTTAATGGATTATTTGTTTTCCTCTTTCCTAATTGCATATCAGTTTCAGGTGCGTAACTGGATATTTTAATGGATTCAGATCAAAGCCTGCTCTCTTGTTTGTGCATGTAAAAACACTTGGGTTTTATTGACATTTTCATTTATATATCAAAGCAGCACCTTTCTACATGAAAGGTGAAATATCATTTAGAAAACAAAGCATTTTCAATTACGGCAGTCAGACGCTGAAATATTGCCATTCTTATTGAGAACAGCATACTCATAACCATTGCCCAATTTTACAACAGCAAGTAGATCAGAAGTACAGCACGTATATATATGACCTCATAAGTACCTACTCAAGATGACTAATCATACACCCAACACCCATTATAAATCAGTATCAATGAGCAATATCTAACAGACATGCAATAAACTATCTCCTTGAACATTCTAATTTTCATGTGTATTATACCAAAGTTATGCTGTCCTTAATTATGACTGTTAAATAATTCATGTAATTTAGGTTTGATCACAACATGCGCCTCACAGGGCTACAGATAATTTTTCAACATCAGGATTACGTACTCCTTATTTCTTCAATACAGGAGTACTGGAAAACCTTAAGAGTACATTTAGAGCAGAGCTCCAGATAAGATTTAGCTCATGTGGGTACTGTACCCAATGTATTTTTTTTTGGAGTGGGTATTATGAATGTTGAGTGGGTATTTCATTTTCCGTTACCCACTGCTTACAAATATGTGCGTATTTCAGTCATTTTACTCACCTAAGTATTATGTCATTGAGTAAGTTTACTAAGCAGGTATGTTCTGCCTTATGTCATACCTAATCAAAACCAACTTAAATATAATGGAAATGATTTCATAAAAAAAAACACTCATCCTATACACTAGTCCTACAACACCCAACACTAGTCCTATACTAACAGTACAACGTGATAGCAATCGATGTCTTTGTCATTACGCAAGCGATTTTTATAAATATATTCCGTAAGCATTTGATTTAAACTTTTTGCGTATCTAACATTTTAAATGCGTAATTGGTACGCAACAAATATTTTTCAGTGCGTAATTGGAAATTTTCTATGCATATTTTACCCGGATACGCAGCTTATCTGGGCCTCTGCATTTAGAGTACTGAATGGTATTTAATGGAGTATCAGTAATCTTGTGTTTCGTTTCATATATGCACCACAACATTGCTACTTTTGTGTAAACAGGTCAATAAACAATAAAACAATAATTTTTCAGATAAATACGTCTGTAAATGATTCTAAGACCGTACACCATTGCTGTGGTGCGTATCTGCTACGTTTTCTAAATTATTTCCTACCGTATCGTGCATATTTTTTATCCGTACAGACGCCGATACAGCCCTTATCTGGAGCCCTGCCTCACTGGATTGTCTGGTCCAGACTTGATTATTTACACACCACTGCCTTAAAGCTGGAATATTGCTCAAAGCAGGGTTCAACAACAAACAAACAAAATTCTAACAGAAGTGTTAGAGGAATCTTCCTCTTCCTAATCATTGAGTGAGTGTGCGATATATGTCATTTGTCATATATTCCATTGGTGATGCATTAGTATTTTAACATTGTATAAATACACACAGGAACTATTATACACATTGTATACACACAGTAGCATTTATGGCAACTATTATATGTTATATATCTGCAATGTTGTAAATATGTGGAAGTGGTGAATTGCCTTTAAATAATGACACCAGTTTATAAGTAATACATCTGTTGTATTTTAAAGATTACTTTCTTCTGGACCTGATAGACAATCAGAACGCAATTAGTCTTTATGGAGAGGGAAGAATCGGAAAAGAATATTCAAATATTGTGTCATGCATCTAATCAAATACAGGAAATATGAACACACTGACATAATTCAAACACTTATTTGAATATCATCTGTTATTTTTTCATCTGACATAATAAACTTTTTCTGGGGTTTTCATTTCAATACAGTAAACAACTATTGTCAGTTTTATTTTACCTTGATTATGAACGACAACTCCATTGTACCTCGAAAGCAAGATTTTGAGTAAAATTGTAGTCATGCAGGGGCGGATACAGCTTTTTGAGAAGGGGGAAGGGGGTGTGTGTGTGTGTGTGCACACTTCATTTTCACAAGAGTTTCAATGGTCATTTAATACATTGTATATCACTGGATTGTAACGTGGGTCTTGGGGTCAATGGATGACAAGGCTGTAATCTGTTCGTGATTGCTGAGAAAAATGTGAAATTGGTGCTATCGCGGTAGGTGCGAAAAACGGACCCTCACGAATGTGGTAAGTGGTCGTTGTATGGAATGAGGTAATGCCATTTCACTCACGGTTTCTCTGTTGTTATTGTAAACAGTTTTAGTGAATGAAAACTAAACTCACTCACTCACTAATACATTGTACCCATCTGGAAGAAGAAATACTAGTATGTGATTTTTAAAAATGGAAATTAATTCTGGTTTGATGATAAAGCCACACATGATAACAGGTTGTTGTTAGTTTCTGTCGTAGGAATATGGAGAGGGCAATTTGACATAGTCTAAACTCCAGCTGATCTTCAACCTATGCAGATTGTAAATGGGAACCAAATGAATTTGGTGGTCACAGACTTTTGTAGATGCAAGTGTTCATGCTTGCCTGCTGACAACATTGGTCACTGGATTATCTGGTCCAGACTAAATAATTTACAGGCTGCCTTATAACTGCTGTTGAGTGTTGAGTTAGACAACAAACAAACATATTTTGTGGATTTGTGCAGGAAACACAAAAGGAAAGATATGGTTTGGAGAACAGATTGGACACAGATTGAGAACCTGATGATTTAGGCTTGGAAGTTTAGTTAAAAGAATAACAGCTGAAAGCTGTGCCTGTTATATATAAGTATGAATTAAAATTAATGAGCAGTTAGTGAGTATGGTTTTACACCGCTTTTAGAAATATTACAGCAATATCACAGTGGGGGAAACCAGAAATGGGCTTCACACATTGTACCCATGGTGGGAATCAAACCCGGGTCTAGCGTGACGAGCGAACGCTTTAACCATTAGGCTATCCCATCGCCCCTAATATTAATGATATGGGTTTGAAAGAACAGATTTCTAGTTTAAATTTAGACAGATATTGGAAAATGTTATCTGTAATATGAATTAGAATATGCTCAAGTTAATGTTAAGGTTGTGTTTCCAGTCAAACGAGGTTGAAGAAAAGATTTTGGTAAGTAAAGATGTTTAATAAGGCTTATAGTGACACATTATCATGATTATTTGCCTCATTTTCTCATTACAGTGACAGATGCATGCTTTATATGTTAACATACTCAGGTCCACATGGAATACATAGGTACAAAACCCATTAAATTTTACATAGGATGAAATATGTTACCATGATCAGTTAAAACATATGAATGCTCATGACTTTCTACAAACCTGACTGAAAAGGGTCGGATGATTGCATTTATTAATATTATTTGTGTCATTGTGTTCAGTAGCTCACGCTGTTCATTCAAGCTGACAAAACTTAAGTGACCTATTGCCCTATTTTGACAAAAAGTTGGGTCATTTTATAATATGATGCAGAAATCAGGTAGCAGTAGAAAAAAATGTCAGCAGAAAAAAATGTGTTAAGGTATCAACAAGTCTACAGTCAAGTTAGACTATAGTCAGTATCAGCTGAATTTTGAAGCATTGTGCCCACATGCACAAAGCCATCTGAGCTCTGAAATGAGCGAAAGTTGCATGCTATAACAAGCTTAGATGGCCCTAGTGAGATCGCTTTGTGCAAGTGGGCCCTTGTGACAAGAAATCATAACAAGCACAACAGATGTTTAAAAAAACAGACTTTGAAAATCTAGCCATTGTCCATTCTGGCATCTTGTTTCGAACTTTCATGTTGACAACTGAAAACAAAATTATACAGCTCACAAGATAAAGTGTATTAGCCAGTATGGTTACATTGATATTTGTTTTTACTAGTGAGGTGAACATACAGTAACAGCAGGCTACAAACAGGTGCTTTTATCAGATACTGACTATTCAGGGTTTTGAGTCAATAAATGAGCTGATGAGAATTAATAACATTTTGATTTCAGTCAGTTGTTTCTTACACATCTGATCTATTAATAGTTCTCACTTCTATGTACGGTTGTTAAAGAGGTTAATCTGTTTCAGACCTTAGAGAATAATTTGGACATGTAGCCTAACTCAATTCTAGAATATTTGGGCAAGGCTGGATTGCTGTCCATCCCATCATAGTTTGCTTTTACCAGATATTTTCAATTAACT